CAGGTCTCGTTTAGTATATTATAATAATACTCAATTTTTGTCTGTTATGATAATGCGCATGCACCTTACTATCTAAATACACATGCGTGCACGTTATTTCTGTAAAAGACACACAAACAAACATATTATTATATATATTTTGTTGTGTTAAGTGTTAAAGATGTCCACAGTCATTATGGTCAACAGTTTATATATCTGTGCTGAACTCCACACTTTCATAGTTTAGTAACACTTATGAGTAGTCTATTTATGGATAATAAATTTCCAATTCTGGTTTATGCTGTGTTCTACCTTAAAAAATATCATTTACTTGCTGATGTACCTATTCAGTGCACAGGGAAGATATAGCTGTGTCAGATATAACTGCTGATCCCTCTATATTGCTCGCTGTGGGGACTTCAGGGTACATGCCAGGTGTGGTGATGATCAATCTAGCAGTTTGCCGGTTGTAAGCACACACACATATATTTTTGTCAAATAACAGTTTAGATGTACAAAAGAAACTTGAACAGTATTTCTGGGTTTATTTTAATAGCCAGTAAAGATATGAAAAAGGTTCATGCATCCTAAGAGGAGGTTATAATAAAGCTAAAATGTGATACATTTTTAAGATTTGAATAAAATCTTTATACTGAGATTTTAGCTGTCAATATTTTGTATTGAGAAAACTTGTGTAATTGCAGAAATTATAAATTAGTGAAGTATTGATAGTTTTTAATTTCTGGTTTCATCCTTTTATTAAATTTATTTGTTTGCTGGAGAAATTTCACAACATATTTGGCAAAGTAAAGAACTGTTTCTTTGTTATATTCTTGGCATATGGTAATATTTATTTAAAAAAATTATAATTGAAAAAAACTCCACATGAATTAGCATATTCTTAATTTTGTAAGACTTATTCAATGTTAAAATACAAGATTAATTATGCCGTATAAAGCAGCCAGGCAAAAATGGGACATTCAACCACTACCACAACAGGAATTTTAATAATTTGAATACTACATTCTTCTGTTTTTCTGAAAAATTTTGTAACCTCTCCTGGATAGTGTACAAAATTGTCTTATTTCAAATGGGTTGTTACTAGTTAATAGCTGTTCATATGAACTCTTTGGTTACAATTAAAACTAATATTTAACAAATTGAGTGACTTGATTGTTACAAAAAGGCAAAAAATTTGTAGTACTTAAAACAATAAAAGTATAAACAATACTGTAAAACTTTAGCTTGTAAAGTTTAATACTGTTGATAAAATGTTCTACATAAGTTTTTTAGTTTGAAAATCATGGGCAACAAAGAAGTATTTTTTTTGTCTTCTATTTTTGAATGGTAAAGGGTACGTGTATAGGATGCTTATCTTGTGAAATAATAAGAGAACAGATCATATTGAATGTTTATTTTTATTCAATAATGAGGAAAAATAATTTTATAATAATATTTTATTGTTCACCATCAATATTAGTAATCAGTTGATGAGGTTTTTGCTATGATATCATTCATGAAAATACTGTAACTCATTTACACAGGTATTAGTGCACTTTTAATGTTATGGAATTAAAGAGGAATTGGATAGAATAGGAGCCAAAAGAGATAAACAGTTGTGGTCTTTGGCAGTCTATTTTCACAACTTTCTTCCAACTAGGCTAGTTGTGTGTATGTAAAGAACATTGTTTGTAAAATGTGATGATTACTGCAGCAATGCTGCCATATACTTAGACAGAGATTAGGGTATGAACGTTGCCTATACCTTGGTAGATCTACTAACGGCACCACTGGCCACATACATATTTGTGGTATTAGTCTCCATTATACAGCAAATTGCAGTTGTTTATGTTATGTAATTCCCATTCTATTCAATTAATGAAGTAGTTCAGTAATGTATGGCCACCCCTTTTTAACTTCAGTATGAACTACAAACATATCGGTCTATTTTCAGTTAACAATGAAGCAAATATGTTTGAAATCAAGAATTACAGTTTGGGGTGGTATTAATTGAACTAACAATACAAAAAGGTCTAAGGACAATACACCATATCATTTATTGTGCATTGGTCACTTCAGCCAATTTTTCAATGACTATCTCAACTGTAGGGGCCATCATCACTGAAGCATTGGTAATTTAGGACATTATATTAGTTGCTTGTGGAAGTTTAAAAGTCAAGCTATTGATTTTATTTGTGTTCAACCATTAGAAGATTGATGACTCAGGTGAATGTTCATGCTGTAAAGTACTGATCTTTAATATTGTTTTGAATGCTGTTTTTTATGTATTCATAATAATTCTAATAGTTTAAAAAGACAAAGTAAAATGTTTATTTATGTGTGTGCTTGATATTTCAAATTAATAATTGACATGTTTCTTACAAGTTTTTGCAATTTCTAAGATGGATGAAGCTTGGTATTTACAACTGAATGTAAAGTTTTTGAAAATAAAAATTACTCTACTTTTATCATTTTGCCCTCTGCTCATAACTTGAAAATACATGGGTAAGTTTGGAAAGTTGTATATTAACAGGACTTGTGTAGATTAGGAGATTTAAAAAACAGTAAGCCCCCCAGTGGCATGTCTGTGGACTTACAATGCTAGAAACCAGGTTTCAATACCCATGGTGGGCAGAGCACAGATAGCCCATTGTGTAGCTTTGTGCTTAATTCCAAACAAACAACAGTAGATTAAAGGTTTTAAATTGGGGTAGTAATTTGTTGTTGTCATTTGTGTTTCTCTAGACTATAAAGTCAACTTAAAATGTAGTAATGTA